CCCTTTATTTTTAACCCAAAATTATTTTATAACCAAAAAAAGACATATGCAAGATGCTTGGGCTTCTCTCATACTTGTTGGATAATAGAGTGATTGAATGAATTAAGCAAATTACAACAAAAAAAAAAAAAAATACACAACCTCATTATAAATTTAAAAGATAAATTTAAAATTTTAAAATAAATTTAAACCCTCCAATACTTTTCCTTCCATTTACTTTAATTATTCTAACATAAAAAGTATAATCCCTCCATTTCCTCTTATTTTCCTCGATTTTCCTCGATTCCCCTCCCTTCCCTTCTCTTCCCTTTACCATTTTCTATCCAAACAATACGTTAAGGATCTTTTTCATTTTCGTCTCTCCTTGCTTTCTCTCCCGCTTCCTTCCCTCTTCCTTTCTCCGTCAGGCGGTTCATGCCCTCAGCCGATGGATGAGAAGGGCTGGGCGTCACCGGACGACGCTTTGGTCACCTAGCGGCTCGCTCAGAGTGCCGATCCGATCCGGTGGGCCAAGAAATTCGGATAGAGCATTGTTGACGCTTTTTAGCTCTCGTTCGGTGCCGTGGACGTCGCTCCCGTCCCGTCGAACGATGCCTCGAGGACAGACTGTTGCCGTTTAGCGTTGGATGAGCTTAGCATGGCACCTCTGTCTCCCATCGGTCCATCCTCGTGAAGACGGAAAAGATCCCTCCAATCTCCAACCAAATCCTCAGGTCGGCTTCGAAATTAGGTTCTTACTTGCAATTCCACATTTTATTATCTTATACATAATCATTCAAACAAGTACGATTTTGCATTTTTAGAGAAGGTTTTGAATCGAATAAAGCATGAAATTAGGGTTTCTGTAGAGAAGATTTTCATAGTTATTTTTATGGCAAATGATAAATCAGATTAATGAAACAATGCTGTCGACTTGTTTGATAGGATAGTTGTTGAATTTCATTCTAAAGTTAGGGTTAAATCGTCTACATCTGTTATTGATGTGATGATTATACAGAAGGTTTTTTTTTTTTTTAATAATAATGTGATGCAGTTTAATCCTTTTACCTTCATTTATGCCTTGAAGATTAGTTCTTTTTCTGTGAAAAAATGAAATCTCTGGGAACCCTGTATATAAGAAAAAATAGCTCTTGAATATGACTCAGTTGTGGGTTGTGACAAGTTGCCTGAGATAAGCTCTTGCGTTTCTTGTAGCCATAGATGATATTCTTGCATCAATTGATCTTTATGAAGTTTATATTTTATCCCTTTTCTCATGTGAAGATTGTACATAATTAACTGCTAAAACTCAAATAAGTAATATAATTTGGCTCATTTGAAATTTTGTTTGAAATCTAAGTTCTAACTATCTTCTGTTTTATGTAATTTAAAATAAGATTGTTCACTTGCTTTTATGCATTCGTCACAGAGATTATTGATATATTTTGCCTCAATTGACCTTTGTAAGTCTATATTTGATTCCCCCTAGTATGATTTCTGCTTAGTTCACAGCTGAACGTCGAAAAAGTAATATAAGTTACCACTTCCTCCGCCTCCTTTTTCTTCTTCTGCCTTGGTTTCATTAAAGCAGTCATATTCTTATTATCCTCCTCCTCCTCCACTTTTTGGGTGTTGCTGCCTTGGTTTAGTTAAAGCAGTCAACACACCATGTAATGTTTTCTGATGCATTTCTTTGTGTTATTATCACAGGTTTACTTTTAGCTGATAGTTAGAACCTATGATAGTTAACACAGGTTTAATATTAGCCGTCTTCATGTTTTTTTTTGGGCTAATAATGTTTGTTTGCATACCGTGTTCTGATATGCCTTCATGCTTGGAAAATGACATATTAGCTGTTTACATTTCTATATGAAGCCCAAATATGAATCCTATATGCAATATTAATCTGTTCCAATCAATGGTTTTTGCCCCAGGTATCCTTTAGACGTCTATGTTCTTTCATTTCTTTTTAAATGCATCCATATTTTGTTCTGTGATTGCCTGTGATAGCTAGGCAAGCTTGCTTACTACTGTCATTGACATCTATCATCAGTAAAGTACTATTTGCTAAATCTTCGGCCTAAGTTTGATTGCACATAATTTAGTACTTTATCTCCTTCACTTATGATTATATTAAATTGTTTACTTGTTGCCACAGCACACTTGTAGATAGTTATGAGCCATTTTTTGAAGACCCATGGAGAGATTACAATGTACCATATGCCATATTCTGAGGTTGCCTGCCATTTCATTGCCTTGATGAAGGAGATGATTTTCATTTCTCAGTTAAGGTGTGAAGCTCTGTGAAAAATGTGATTTTCTAATTTCAGGTTTCATCCTTTTTAGTAGTTTTTGTTATTATTTTGCTTTTGGATTTGTAAATGGCCATTATTAATTTTTGTCTTTTACTTTAATTTTAGTTTAGTTTTAGTTTGTTAGAGTTAGCAGCATGCCATAAATTTATTTAATTTTTATTCAAGTCAAATTATTAGTTTTGGATGTATGATACTAAGATGAGTATCTTTTTAAATTGCTTAGAAAAATCCTAGAACTAGTCTGATGCTTGAGAACACATTCGGTAAAATTGAGACCATTATCTCTTGATCATAGGATTAAATCTTTAAGATACTTTTGGCTTTTAGAACTAACTCAAAATTAAAATTTGTGGGCTTAGACATTGATAGATTATTGATTTAATCTTGTTTGCTACAAGTTAAACAATGATTATTTTTATACTTTTATTTTGCCCTCATTTTATATTGTTTAAATTGATCTAACATTGAAGAACTGTATCACTGCTTTTATCTTATGTTGCTTTTTCCAGTTATGTTGTTAAATGTTTGAAGGTTGCTTCCATTTAGTTCCATGCCGTGAAAATCATGATACATATAAATATTCTCGTTCGATTTTCTCTGTTCAGAAAATTTTCCGGCGTTCAAGGTGTTTTTAATTGGGTCACCAGAACGCCCAAAAGCTTTTATAGCTTCAGTCCCGTCAATTTTATGTTGTTCGTATGCGTATTCGTGGTGGCTCCTGAAGTGTTAAAAAAAGGCCACTGTTTTGGACTTAAAAGTTAAAATAGTAAAAAAAATAATATCGAAATCAGAAAATGAAAATAATAAGCCGTTCGGATCTCATTTTTCGTTAAGCCAGAAAACGATTGATTGTTGTGTAAACAACGAATATACAGAATGGCATGTAACTCATGGTTAACGAAAATGAGTCATTTTTGAACGGAGCTGAGTCATTTTTGAACTGAGGTGAGTCATTTTTGAACTGAGCTAAGTAATTTTTGAACAAATAATCTGCCACAATGCTGTTAGTCTTCTCTGTTGGGTGGAAGGAGTCCCAGAACATATATTTATTAGCATCTGAACATGTGAATAAGCTACCTCTGTTACACATGTAACTCATCTCGATGTATCCTGTCCCACAACATGCTGTCTCCACATCGTCAAATCCTGTAATTAGAAATTTTATCATTGAAAATTACTTTGTTAAATGGAAATATTCTCATGTAAATATGCATATGAACATGCACCGCTTGCATGCACAAATTAGGGCATGCTTTGACAGAGAGGAAGCTGACAACAATTAATTGCATGGTATGATATTGTTCTTAAGTATGTGTGCATGCTTCCCTGATCCTTTCATTTATTTCATCTACACTATCCATCTATATGAACTGCGCATGAGACCTATTTGTGCCCGTAGAATCGGAGCCCAGATTTATGTAAGAAGATAGGATGTTTGATGAGAAAATATTTGCTCTTCTTCTTCTTCTTCTAGGGTTGTCTTAGCTAATGAGCTTGGGATTAGATCTCCTAATCCATTGTTATGCGTACTATGTAATGCAAAGGAATACCAACTTTACTGAACATATTGATAAATACTCACCAAAGGAATTTGGATTATCAATCATTTCTAAGACAAAATCATATGCGTCTGCAAGCACTAGCTGGATTCCATCAAGCTCCTTTTGCAGCTTCATGATTGACCCCTGCAACTTCTTATTGAAGTCCTTAGCCACATTGTTATACGCCTCAATACATTTCCTTCCAAATAAGATGTTTGTTGTTCTCTCCAATGGTACACAACCCATTGGAGCAAGCCCGATTATTGATATCTTCCGCGCTCCCAGCTGGTAAAGATGGTTGATGAAATCTGTAGCAATTCCTATAAGAAAATTCTGGTACTCCCCGACAGAGTACTCTGATGACCTGTTTGAGGACACGTAGTAGTTTTCTAGGAAGTCATTGGTGCCGATGCTTATCAGATGCAGTGCCTTACTGAGAAGCTGATTAGCTTTCTCATTGCCAAGGTACTTTCTTAGTTTACCCTGATATTCTTTGTAGTACTCCAATTCTTTCCAAAGAGGTATTACAGACTGCAAAAAATCAGCATGTAATAAACGACTTGCTGAAAAATTAGTCTCTACTTGACTCGGTATTCTGTAATATTTTACTTTAAATATTGGACGTGTATAAGATAGAACATGTAGCAAATTTAGCATTGTGCCTTCATCTAAAGCAGTGAATAAAAAAATCAACTTGGAATTCAACAAAAATTATGCAAGTTCAATGCAAATGAACATACTCCCTAGATCTGCTCTTATGTTAATTATTACTGAGTTATGTCTTTACTTACTAGCACATCAGAAGTAGCATTGTCATAACCAGTTCCAGCAGAAGCAAAGCAAACCCCAGTAGCGAACTCTGATATGTCATAAGCCGGATCCAAATATGGAGGAATTGCTGGCTTGATTCCAAGAGCTTCAGAAAGGAAGTCTGTTGCAAGCCTACCGTTGGAAAAACGTCCTGTTGGCTTACGACCAGGGAAATCCCTGCCATATGGCTCAAAATTGCTCTTTAGAACCGTAGATATCTCATTGTTGTTCCCTGAGTCCACGGTAGAATCTCCAAACACTATAATTGCTGGAATTTTAGCATTTATTTCTGGTACTTGTCGTATGAAATGAGCTAAGAGCAACAGCAAAATAGCCTGGGATGCCATGTGATGTACGTCTGTCTAGAAATTGGGTTATATTATAACTTGTCTTGGAGTGGTTGGTGAAGTTGGTATGAATGATCTTCAGTGAGTTGGGAAAATGAAGTTTATAGCACTATAGGTGGATGAAGTTGGGTGAGACTAAATTGCATTTAAGTGAACGATAGTGTTTACACCCATTTTTACAAAAAAAAGAAAAAAAAAAAAGTAAAATGGTGCCACGTGTCATCCATGTTGACAGGTATTTCATGTTGACTGTTGTTGGCGTAAATCTTTCCAGATAAGATTAAGTGGTTATTCCCACAATGGCAGCAAAACCATTACCTTGTTGTGAGCTTTTAGGAGGATAATCGACAGCATCAACAAATTAATCAGTTTGTTTTAGATATCACGATATCATTGGTTGTTCAAGATTGCTGCCGTAGATCTCTAAGCATGCTGCCATGGATGTTTTTGCTATAAATATGCAAAGAAGAAACGAAGTAAAAGGACCAACCTCTCACACAACTAGCCCAACGCTATCTACATTTTAGTTTTACAAGCAATGTCTTAATTTAGATCCAACTTTTTTAAACAGTTTTCCTAGTTAAGTCTTTAGCTCTACACTGCCATTAGTTTTAGCTCTAGTTTTTATTATTTCTTAGTGAACATCTCTACTTGATGTATTTAGTTTTTTACAATTCAATTTACTGCACTTTTGCCCAGAATTCATCTTCCTAGTTTCTTTTAAGTTTAGTTTTATGCTTCAGTTTTTATTTCATTTTCTACGCTTTCATGCATTTGCAACGGCATCGTGCTTCCTTTCTGCAATTTAGTTTCCCTTCCATGCACTCTATTTTTACTCTTTTCCTTTATTTTCTCTTTTATTTTGATCAGCAAACTAACATTTTGGCCCTAGTTGTCGGAAGTCCCTGATGTTCTTCTAGGGCAATTATTTATGGACCTTTATGCAGAAATGCACCCCCGTTTCTACAACAATCGTCTAACCAGGGCGCATCTCATAATTTATGTAACCGGTACTCTTCCATCAACTTGCAGCCGAGTTCCACGCTTGAAAGTAGTGAGAGTCACCATGAATCTCACTTTGAGCAAAGTGGGTGGCACGCGTTTGCAGTCTTATCTGCCACACGACTGACAAGGGAGATTTTGGAGACAACAATCTCTTTTTGGCACACTTGGTGGGACCCATTGTGGGCTTTCACAAGTTTATTGATCATATCGCAAGTCCTTATTTTGTTGATTGCCAGAAGCTCTTCATGACTCCATCACATACTTCCTCTTATATCAATCCACTTTATAATGAGAGGACAACATCAGGTAGTGAGTCTTCCAAATCACTTGTTGAAATGATAGCTAATTTTGCTGAGAAATCTAAAAGGCTTCATGATGAATGGAGGAGGAATTTGGAGGAAATTGGAGGAAAATTGGAAATGATGCAAATTAAATCTTCCAAAACTTAAAACCCCTTAACCCAAAAGTGAGGTTTTAATGAAGGATTCAGGGAAGCGCCATGCAACCATGTTTCCAAGAACTTTGAAGCAGTTTTGCAAATTGCAGAATGTGATAGAGATGTCAACTATAAATGAAGGTAAGACGACATTAGGGTCAGAGAGTAACCCCATGATCACATTCGGGGGGCATGAATCATAATTGCTACGTGTTGCCCAAAGTGAACAACGTTATGTAGCTTTTGAGGCGACTTTAGCAAGTATGTCTTCAAGTCATTCTAAGTCTGTAAAGACTAATACTATTATTATCAATTCTTCAAGGATTTTCCTATAGATCAACCATGTTCTTTCCCCGCCTTACATCAAAGCATAGGATTCCAAATATACTTATTAAAAAATTTTATCGACCCTATTAAATAACATATTTATAATTTATTTATTACTCATGTTATTAAATTCCCTTTGGTGGCAATTTAGTCTACATCTTTTGTTAATATGTCACAAACTTTGGTCATCAACTTTTACCTAATTTTATTTTAAAAAATCCCTAATCAAATTAGGGGTTTTCACTTTTCTTTCATCTTTAGGGAAGCACCGGTTCTACGTGCAGGTAAGCGGCAGGTAAGTGGCGTGGAATGGGATTTAAGTCACGTTATGAAGGTGAGGCATCTGTTCTTAGTGGATTTCATTTTAGATTAGTAATAAAAGGAGCACTATTTTACAATATAAAACAGTTAGAACCGTAAAAATAATTTTTTTTAGTTTTATTCACCGTTGTCTAACTTTAAAAAAAAAAAAAAAAAAATTTTTTTTAGTTTTATTCACCGTTGTCTAAGTTTTTTTTTTTTTTAAAAAAAAGGAAAAAAATCTGTGGAGCAGGCAATGATGGAGCCCAAAACTATAAATAATAAATGATCCGTTTTGATATGTTCAAGCCCAAACCAATTGTTGGGTAAAGCCCAAAAAAATCAGTAACAAGGAGCATAAACGAAAATGGAAAAACCAAGACGTTTTATACTCAAGAAGTTTTATGTAGTGTTTTAAACTTCCTTCTTCACTAAACCTTGATGATTCCACTCTTTACGTTTTTAAAACTCTTAAATCATTGAACTTCCATATGAGTGATAAAAAGTAACTCTTTTAAATTAAATCACAACTTTTAAAGTAGGGTTAGAAGCTTATATAAAACTCAAACACAAGATTATGAGAATGTTCAGAAAGTTGCTTGCCTTATTGCCTTAGTTATTGCCTTAGTTTTTACCATTTGGAGCGTAAACCACCTTAACTAAAATGGAATAACCAATAGTCATAATGGAAACAATTGTCATAATTAGTTCAATATTATAGCTAGTTATTCCAACACTTTTACAACTAAAAGCAACATAAAATTTCAGAAAAAAATGCTATTAGAATTTCCTCCAAAAATCTACTTTACCTTATTTCTATCCTTTGTGAAAAGCAAAAGCGAGCCACCATGCATGAGAGATTCAGCACACATCTTCCAGAATTAATATGACCATTGCGATGAATCTGACGGTTTGAAAAGTGGTAAGAAAATGAACCTAAATGAATTTGCCAGTGGTAAGAAAACAAACCTAAATGAATTTGCCAGTAAGAGGAGATGAGCCAGAAGCAACATAGCTCTCAAATTCTCAAGCTATCCACAATTTTTACCTATATCAAACACATTGTTGTACTCCTTTGGCTAATGTGGATGAAGACAACATAGGAGAACAATAAAATTTGACCAATCACAAAACAGAGTTCAGAGGTTTGTGAAGAAAAACATTCCCTAAGAACTTTCTAGATAGAAAGTTACCCCTCTTCAGAAGAGTATATTTCTTTTTTCATTTCATAAAAGGTAATTGGAAGAAGAAGACATAAACCTAACAGAACAAGCAATTACAGTAACAGCCTAGATAGTGTAAGAAAACCAGACAAAATAAAAACCTTCACCTCAACATGATTTGATTGAAATGCCCGATTACTATCATCCAGCAGCTCGAACATACAACTGTATCTCTCTGGCAGTCAGATGACAATGATCTATCTTGTTCGTTGCTTGCATTAAAACAATGTTTTTCAATCTGCGGAAAATATGAACAAGACATCAATGGCAAAATTCAACCTTTTTTTAGCAAACCAAATTTTAGAAACAATTCAGATTCTCAGAAAAATCTTCAGACTAGCATACTCCGTTAATCTACTTCCTCTAACGAAAATATTATACAATGAAAATGCTAATTAGATATTAATCAAGTTTTCCCTTTCTTGTAGCAGTAACTGCAGCTTCTCTAGCCTCTAGCACATACCAAACTGCTATTAACTTGTCAATTTATCATAACCATAATTCTATGCGGCAAGAAATTATAAACTTATCAATTCTAGTATAAGTCAATAAATATTGCCAATATATTTATCGGAATACAAGGAATTTTCATACATCAAGAGAGAGGCTAAGAGGAAACAAATGCAATAGAGCAATTAAAAACAAACATATTCTATAGGCTTCCATAAATGCATGAAAACACAATTTGGAATCATGAAAATGATAACAAGGGAAGGAAAACCGCATCCTTATTGCTCTGGGCTGTTTAATTACTGTAAAAAGGAAAGAAAATCACCTCGATTGCGAAACAGCTAAATTGACTATATACTTTTAATTTCCTAAGAAACCTATCGTTTTAAATAAAATTTTAAGCTTAGTTTTCATGGCAGCCATCCCTGGTTTCCACTATTTCGTTCTTACGATTTCACTTGTCAATGAAACACTCGATAAACAGCAAACTAACGTAGCAAACAGGCTTCATGAAATTTTAAAATGAAAAACAAACTCATTTTCTTAAACCACAAACACCTTTCAATAAGAACTGCATCAACTATCAATTTCAAAGACACCTAAAATGAATATGAAAAAAATCAACAAAGAGAAAAGGCAGCGAGCACGCAGCTAAAACTAGTCGCCGTCGTGTCCAGAACACGTCGTGAAGGCCATTGCTCCTACTGGAACCTAGGAACACCGGTTGGCGCCGTGGACTAGCGTAGCGCGATGAAACGATAGGGAAGGTATATATTTTTTGCGGGGTGAGGACATAGGTATTTTTTCCTTGTAAATTTATGTTGGAAATTTTTTCTGTTTAGAAGAACCTATAAGGATCATTATTTTGTGAAAAATTTTAAAAATATATAAATTAATTTTATTTTAAATTTAACCCAATTTAATAGATCACGATGCATTTTAAACCCAATTTAGTAAAAATTAAATTTAACTCAATTTTACACAACTCAACCTAACTCATATTTAGGTTTAACCTAATTAAATTAAATTGAATTGATCTTTATTTATATTTGGAGACTTTCTATTTAATTTTATATTTGAAAAACTTTAGTTAATTGTGCTTAAATTTTTTAAATTTTGTTTATTGTGTTTGAATATTAATTTATTATATTTAAAAAATAAAATTTACATTTTGATATAAATTGCCGAGGAACAAAAACAAAGAACAAATTTGCCAAACAAGGAACAAAATTTACTTTCTGTCAAAAATCCCCACAAGATCACCATCCCTATCATTCGTGGAGATGGAGATGGGGAGATACTCCCCAACCCTACACAGCCTTATTGTCATCCCTAATCACCAAGAGAGAAGTCCCTCTTTACGAGGGTGGTTCAAGCTTGAATTTTTTGAATAGTACAATTTAAGGTAGGGAAAAGGGAATTGTAACATAATAACATTATGATTTAAATTTTAATTATTGTTAAGATATTAGATGCATCTATCAAATGATTTATGAGGCCTAGTACCATCATGCTTGAATTTGGGCCATAAATATGTGTTAAATTTTAAGATTCTTTGGTTGGCCACTTCCCTATCTAAAAAATTTGAAAAAATTGATTAAAATTTAACTTGAGTTTGTTTAAGAAATTTAATTTTTTAGTGTGCAAAGTAAGATGTAATATAATTGGTTACAGAAAGAAAATGTGATTAATTAACATTTAGGTTCAAAGTTGACCTATTTCAAAAACTTGGAGGGCCAAATTGATAAATAAAGAAGTTGAAGGGATCAATTGGAAAAACTTGTAAATTTATTGGTTGAGAGCGAAGAGTCGAAGATTAAAAGGACAGAGTCAGAGTCCTGAGAGCAAGAGAAACTGTCATGCAAACTGAGATCAAAGTATTTTAAGGTGCGATTTTTAGCTCTCTTTCGCTTTACTTTAGCTTCTACTCCTTTTGTTATTTGCAGATACTGATTACCCTGAATCTAGCAAGTGAATGATTACTCTATAAACGAATGCATACCAAGTGTTTGATAATATTCCCCTTTCACTTTCACCCTCTATTTAGTTTACCAGAAGCTCGACCTACTTTTTGTTTTTTAACAAGATGAATAAACAAACTCATTCCAAGTGTTTGTTTTGTTTTAAAAGTAGCATCTTTTGGGTATCGAAATGATTCTCTGGAAGTGTTTTGAAAGTAGTGTGTATGTAAGGAGGATGCATAATTGTCTATTTTTACTAAACGGTTTTTGTAGGAGAAGCAGAGGCAAACTTTGACAATGCTACCGCAGAGAATAAAGAAGACCATTACAGATAATCCTAAGAAACTGGCCAACTTGATTGACCTTGTAAATCTTCCTTCCACACTCCGGGAGTTTGTGGGTCATTCACAGGCTTCTCGTTTGGGCTGCTTCATGCGTGTTTGGTCTTATATCAAGGAAAACAATCTCCAGGTCCACAATCTCTCTGACTGAGTTTTGTATTTTGCTAACTAATAGTTCATTGTTGAATGCTTTATCAAATGTTTCCAAATGAATTGGCATAAACCTCTGTCCAGCAATATTGATAGTATAAAATGGGTTTAGGTTGTTTTTTTTTTTTACTTTAAAAATATGCATGCTTGGGGACAAAGATCACTCTTAACTGTGCATCTATCTGTTACTTTATATGCTATTTCGTGAGGAATTGCTTGTCATGTTATAGATCATTTAGTTGATTGGAAAAAATCTCTGCTGATAAAGAGCAAAAATTAGCAATCACATCAATTTCATAGACTCTTTACTGAATATGGTAGCTGTTAAAACTTTTGAATGTGATTTGTTGGGGCCATACAAATATAGTGGATGTAATTGGAGTTAGTTCCAAAAGTTTGAAAATTTTTTAATTCCTGGTGATTTTGAGATTTTAATTTGAGCTTTTCTTAGTGGCATTTACTTTGTTTTACATTGTTCACTTTTTATGTGCAACTGTTGATTACTTAATATATGCAGACTTTTAATCTTGAATGGAAGTCTGAATTGCATTTTTTTTTTTTTAATATTAGGATCCAAACAACAAGAATGTGGTCAATTGTGATGAAAAGTTGAGGAGTATTTTATTGGGCAAGCCTCAGGTTGATTTAGCTGAACTTCCTGCACTTATTAAATTGCATTTTCCCAAAAAGCTAAAGTAAGTCACAGCATTTGAGATTATGCTCCAGATAATTTATTGTCTTCTATTTGAACAGTCTAAGCTGCCTCTGGTGATATTAAACTAATTGCCAATTTTTTTGTACATTTGAACATGTAAGAATTTATAGTACTCTTCATATTTAAAGTTGGGAATGTTTTTCTTCCTTTTCTCCTGGATCTCCTTTAATTTCACATCAAGAATACCTTTTTCATTGGCCTCAAGAGCTTTATTTTTTGGTCATCTCTCATATGTATTCTGTAACTTTTTTGTGGTGTTTGTATCAACTAATCGCAATGGAATCAAGATGATGTTGTGGCACACTGGCACCCCTTGTGCTGTTTTAAAATTAAAACAGAATGTCCTTCAATATTAGTCAATTTCTAGCAAAATTTTAGGAGGATCTCCCTTGATTTAACAAAGTTCCAATTTTTAATATTCAAAATAAGTTTCACTTACAGTGTATCACATAAAAGAGCAAAATAACCTTAAAAGAGAAGAATTATCCTGTGTCCTGCTAACTGATTCTATAAGGACCATCTACCTTTTAGCGATCATTGAACTGAGAGAAGTAATTTTTGAACAAATAATCTGCCACAATGCTGTTAGTCTTCTCTGTTGGGTGAAAGGAGTCCCAGAACATATATTTATTAGCATCTGAACATGTGAATAGGTTAGTTCTGTTACAGATGTAACCCATCTCAATGTATCCTGTCCCACAACATGCTTTCTCCACATCTTCAAATCCTGTAATTAGAAATTTTACCATTGAAAATTACTTTGTTAAATGGAAATATTCTCATGTAAATATGCATATGAACATGCACCGCTTGCATGCACACATTAGGGCATGCTTTGCATGGAAATATTCTCATGTAAATATCCATCTATGTGAACTGCACATGAGACCTATTTGTGGACGTAGAATTGGAGCCCAGATTTATGTAAGATAGGATGTTTGATGAGAAAATATATGCTCTTCTTCTTCTTCTAGGGTTGTCTTAGCTAATGAGCTTGGGATTAGATCTCCTAATCCATTGTTATGCGTACTATGTAATGCAAAGGAATACCAACTGTACTGAACATATTGATAAATACTCACCAAAGGAATTTGGATTATCAATCATTTCTGAGAGAATATCATATATGTTTGCAAGCACTAGCTGGATTCCATCATGCTCCTTTGTTAGCTTCATGATTGACCCCTGCAACTTCTTATTGAAGTCCTTAGCCACATTATTATACTCCTCAATACAGTTACTTCCAAATAAGATGTTTGTTGTTCGCTCCAATGGTAGACAACCCATTGGAGGAAGCCCGGTTATTGCTATCTTCCGAGCTCCCAGCTGGTAAAGCTGGTTGATGAAATCTGTAGCAATTCCTATAAGAAAATTCTGGTACTCCCCGACAGAGTACTGTGATGACGTGCTTGAGGACACGTAGTAGTTTTC